TTTCTGATTCGGCGATACCTGTATGAAACCTGAAACCAAACCTGGACAATACATGGAGTATCAGAATTCTGAGAAATTTTGTTATCTGGAATACCTGGACGCGTAGGTCGTCCTTTTTTTAATAAGCGCGAACTTAGTACATTCGTACTGATATTGCCACTCCACGATATGAATTAATTTGATAATTTTGAAAAATCAGTACACTAATTCCTCCCAAAAAACTACCGGGAATTCCTCATTTCTTTGTTGCAGAAACCGGCTAGTATAACGCATTTTAGCATGACTGGATTCAGCATGGTTTGACGTTCGTTCATCCAGGTGTTGGTTTGGTATGTGATTTAGCTTCACTGATGTTCGTTGTCGCCCGCATTTACGTTATTGCTGTCGAAGCAATCCGTGAGATGGTCCATGACATCCCCATATGCGTTACTGTAGTTGACGAGACCACCTCCGTATTACATGTGATCGATGCGCTGCCACAGGCGATAGAGGCACTTAATTTTTTTTCAATTAACTCATCATTCGCCAAGTTACCCGTTTCGACACAAGCACAGATCGCCAAAATGGAGAACGCAGGCATTATCAACCTAGCCGAGGTGGCCTTGGAGGCCTTGAAGCGTGAGCAGTTGCGGCAAAAACTACATCGCCGACGCATGGAGCGTTGGCGGAACTTACGAAAGGAAGAGCTGGCAACCATCCGTGACGAGAGAAAGCGCCTCGAAAAAAAGTTGGAGCAGCTCCTAAAATCAGCTCAAGCAACATTCTTTCAATTGTCGCCAGAATCGATGGCTGCGGCCTTGCATCGTGTCACCATCGAGCGAACAGTGTTACACCAGGACAACCTACGGTTGAAAGAAGCGATCATGCACCAACTCGACATCGAAAGTAAGTTAAAGCGCGAAACAGACAAGTTTTTCAGCGAACTACAAGAATCGTCCGAACTTTCGACAACCGCGAGGCGACTCGCTCAAGACGGCAAAGGGTGGTGGGTGCATTTCCCGAATGGTGAGCCGTCCTTCTTCTTCACGCCACTTTCGCAGGGCGCGTTTGCGGATAAGTTGAAGCAGCAGGAGGATGAATTTGCGAAGCGCCAATTGTGCGCCGTTACTATCGGTGACGCGTTTGGTTGGAAAGTGGATTACGTGCCACCATTCCGACAAGAGTCTGGCACATTGATGGCACATGCGCGCTTTTCAAGGCGACTTCGTTGCTCATTCGACCATGCATACAATACTCTACTACGACTAGACACGGACGATTGGCCAATGGTTATTTCTCCTCGAAGCTTCGGGCGCGAACAGCGCGGTGATTTCTACTGCCAGCCACTCCAGAGGTTTGGTAAGGATGACCTTGTTCTAGTGTGCAACATTCCAGGCGATGTCCATATTCGGTACATTGCAGTCGCACAAAACGCCTTGTCGGTGTTTCCAGACGGTAGACGAATTGTTAGGCACTGCGCGATGCTCGTGGATTCTGCAGAGAATGCGCGCTGTCGAGAAGCGGAAGGACCACAAGAAGACGTGCTATGGGTCTTCGATGGAGGGGAAGTCTGCACCATCAAGGAGGCGGACGACAACTCAATTGATGTCGTGTATGACCATTGGTCCGAATGCCTGAGTGAAGAGAATGGACGGGAGCTATATGTCGACTGGATTCGCTACGCGGTTCGCTTAGAAGAGTACGTTGCACCGATCCGGATGCTTCACGGCTAAAGTGTAACGGGGTACAATACCGTAAGTGTACCCAAGTTACATGAAGAATGCCCAGTCACTCTTGAGATACCTGGTACATGGTACCAGGTGATCTAGGAGCCAATCATTGCATATCTACCTAGATTCAATATAGGTAACTTATAGTTTGTATTAGATACCAAGCTAAGTCTACCTATAAATACATTCAGTCTTAATCGTACCCTCAAGTGAGT